TACGACGTTCAGTACCGCCCGTTCCCCAAAACCGTTCTGGACTGCCTGCCAAAGGAGGGTCATGACTGGAGGGTTCCTCAGAGCACGGAAGATCCGGGCTGGAGGGACAGAGAGGATCTTCGCAAACTCCTCATCTGCAGTATTGATCCCATCGGTTGCCAAGATATCGACGATGCTCTCCACGCCAGGCCACTTCCCAACGGTAACTTCGAGGTGGGCGTGCACATTGCCGACGTATCTCACTTCGTCAAACCCGGAAACGCCATGGACACAGAGGCTAGCTTACGTGGTACAACCGTATACCTTGTGGATAAGCGTATTGACATGTTACCCATGCTTCTCGGCACTGACCTCTGCTCGCTGAAGCCGTACGTCGAGCGCTACGCCTTCTCCTGTATCTGGGAGATGAACTCGAACGCAGATGTCGTCAGCGTTCGGTTCACCAAGTCGGTGATCCAGTCCAAGGAAGCCTTCAGCTATGAGGCGGCACAACTTCGTATCGATGACGGCTCCCAGCAGGACGACCTTACGAACAGCATCAGAACGCTTCTTGCACTGTCCAAGAAGCTGAAGCAGAAGCGTATGGATGCCGGTGCCCTCAGCCTGTCTTCTCCCGAGGTCAAGGTGCAGATGGAGTCCGAGACATCAGATCCCATCGACGTCAAAACGAAGCAGCACCTCGACACCATGTCTCTGGTCGAAGAGTTCATGTTGCTCGCAAACGTCAGTGTAGCTACCAAGATCCATGAGGCCTTCCCTCAGACTGCTATCCTTCGTCGTCACGGTGCTCCCCCCAAGACCAATTTTGACGAGCTTGCAGACCAGCTACGTGTGAAGAAGGGGCTCGAGCTCCGTGTCGACTCTAGCAAGGCCCTTGCCGATTCCCTCGATACTTGCGTCGACCCAGCCAACCCCTTCTTCAACACCCTTGTTCGTATCATGGCCACTCGTTGCATGATGAGCGCCGAGTACTTCTGTTCCGGAACCCAGGCTTACCCTGAGTTCCGCCACTACGGTCTCGCCTCCGAGATCTACACCCATTTCACCTCTCCCATCCGTCGTTACGCCGATCTTGTGGCTCATCGCCAGCTCGCAGCCGCTATCGGCTACGAGGCCATCCACCCGGCTGTCCGTAGTCGCGGACGTCTGGAGGCAGTCTGCAAGAACATCAATGTCCGCCACCGCAATGCACAGCTTGCGGGCCGCGCCAGTATCGCGTACTACGTCGGCCAGGCGCTCAAGGGCAAGGTCGCCGAGGAAGAGGCGTTCGTGATGAAGGTGTTCAGCAACGGCTTCGTGGTTCTTGTGCCGAGGTTCGGTATCGAGGGACTCATTCGGCTCCGGGACCTTGCGGAGACGGAACCTGACAGTGTCTACGATGCGGAGAACTACACGCTCACGACATCGGGTAGCCGCAAGCTGAAGGTGGATCTCTTCCAGAAGGTCAAGGTCAAGGTCACTGATGAGAAGGACGAAGCCACCGGCAAGAGAGGTGTCAAGATGGAGCTTGTCAGCGCATGAGCTCTGAAATGGTTAAGAGTGGCATAGGAAAAGTTAACGGTGTTTTCTATTTCGTAATGTAACGTAGAAGACGGCATGGCGCCGCTGATAAAGGCTCGAGAAAATGCATAGCCCTCATGTTTTGAATTTTGTGACTTGAATCTCGGCAACCACCCTGTGCCAGTCAAGGTAAACTGTCTGCGCCTTGACGCCAGTCACACAACTGCCTACTACCCACACGGCAGACGTTTGTTTTCCATGCAAGCGAGAATGTGGACCAACGTTGATTTCTTACTTTTGAATCCAAACAGCGCAGTGCTGTGTCTCTTAACCCAATCGCTCATCCCATTCACCACTTCTGCGTGGCCTGAAACTCCGGTTTGACGCTCCTCTGCTCGAAAACAGGCAGTAGCCTCAATTTTGGAATCGAACAAAGTGCTACTGCTCGGCTAGAATAGTGTTATGGAAACCGTCAAGGGCAGAGCGCGGCATCTTGTGAAGATGGTGGATTACGGAAAGCAACATCCTCTTGGTGTCAAATAAGCTAACTAGGGTTAGAATCCGATCTCACCCCCTGATGAAGACGGGCCAGCAACCCATGCTTATCTCTCACAATAACGTGGATGGGTGGAGGGCGTCCAGGGAATGAATCATGGGCGGAAAGCAGACAGGTGAAAAGCCTCCTGGATTTGGCTTTTCTAATTACAAGTGAAATTCAGAGGATGTCACCATGTCCACCAGTTGCAGAGGTCATACCAGAACAGGCAATTCCATGCTGAGAAATGAAGAGTTGAATGATTCTGCCCGTGGGCGGGCTCCGACCTCGCCCTTTTCCAGTGGCCGCTCTTAATCTAGAACGACAAATGGCTAGTACGAACATCACAACAGTCATTTGAACCCGGAGGCAGCTTTTAAAGGCGGATGAGCATATGTGAATGAGGGCCAACGTGTTTTGATGGTCACTGCCCCTTTTTATTCTTTTCCCCTAAACCGCCCCAAACGCCGGGTAAATAGACGAGACAGCTAGGCCATGATGAAGAAAACCACAACGCATCTATACTCTTTTGATATCATGCTCCGCCCACACCCAAGATCTACTCATTATACCAACCAAGGCCTACTGCTCCATGGCATCGTCTCCAGCAGTAGCAGCCGCGCCTAGATCCGCGAAGAGGTCGTCAATGTTGAACTCCTTGGCCCATTCCGTGACGATAGTCTTCTGGTCAGGAGCAGCAGCGTCATCGGCAACAGAAGCAGTGGCAGCGGCATCCTTGGCGTCGCCCTGGACAGCGAGCACAGGTGCCTCAACCCAACCCTGGATGCGTCCGTCACGCCAGTCCGTAACCACAGTCATGGCAGCAGCGGCGATGTTGGGAACACCACCGCGGCCAAGACGTCCGCGCTTGCGAGCAACCTGCACCAGAAAGTCGGTCGTAAGGTCGCCATCGGTGCGGCTGGGCATGAGAGGAGGCAGGTCGTACACATCCGTCAGCTTCTGCAGCAGGTCGGGGGTCGCGGAGAGACGGCGCAGTAGCAGTGTGACGGCGGGAACCGGGTCGTCGATGTTCTTGGGGGGCACGGCGTTAAGGAGGACGAGGTGGGCGTGGGCGTCGGTTGAGTTCTTGAGCGACACGAGGCCAGACGAGGAAGCGTTAGAGGCGGAGGGGAAGACAATACCGGGGGAATCGAGGAGGGTAAGCTTGCTGTCGATCTTAACAGCGCGGATGCTCGTCGTGACACCGGCCTCGGCGCCGGCGGGGCAGGCCTTGGAAGAGCCGCGAGCGCCACTGAGGCGGCCCAGGAGGGCGTTGATGACGGAAGACTTGCCGACATTGGGATAGCCAATGACACCAACCGACACGGCGCGCTTGAGCTGTCTCGTCGCAGCGTACGACTTGAGAGCACGGAAGAGGTCTGCAGAAGTTTTTTGCACGGTGAGCTCCTTGTGGTTGAAGGTCTGCGCATTAGGCGCCGGGTTGGACGCGCGCAGGGGCAGAGTCGGGAAGTAGCGGCGCAGGTGGATGAGCCATGCCTGGAGGGTCTTGGGGGGCACAAGATCGATCTTGTTGACGATCAGAATCAGACGCTTGCCGCCGTTGGCGGCGGCCATGACACTGCGCTCAACGTCGCGGGAGCGGGTGGATTCCGGGTCGCGGGCGTCGAGAACGTAGAGGATGACGTCGGCTTGTTCGACAACGTTCTTGAAGACCTTGTCAAAAGCCTTGCGGGAAGTCGCATTGCCAACAGCAATCTCGGCCGGGGCGTCCGAGTCGTCTGAATCCTCGTCATCGTCCATCTCGTCAGCGTCGACGTCGCGCAGGTCCTTCTCGTAGCTCTGGGCGGCGGCTCTGGCGCTGGCGAGCAGCGCAGCCATGGGGTTCGACTCGTCCACGTCCTCGTCGTCGTCCTCGACCATCATGTCGTCGTCGTCCTCCTCACCATCCTCGGCCATCCCGGTCGCATCTGCATCTTCAGCGGTAGCGACGCCGGTCTTGGCCGCCTTGGCTAGCTCGCGACGCTTTTGCGCCTCCTCGGCCTTGCGTAGCTTCTTCTCCTCAATCTCCTCGAGAATCTTTTCCTTGTAAGGGAACAGGTTGGGAATTCCCGGGTCCTTCTTGAGCTTGGAGCGCCATTCGGGGTTCTTCTTGGCGAGCTTTCTCTGTTTCCTCTGCTTGGCCGCCGACGCCTTCTCGATCTTGTGGCGAAGGCGGACGGGCGTCCTCTTGGACTTTGGCTCTGCGATATTGTTAGATGCAATCTGTCAAGATTAGAGACTTTCAACGTACTCTTGGGCTTGTTGATTGATCCGGCCATCTTGAAAGCTGTCCGCGCAGAAAGTCGACAAGATGTTGCGTCGGAGGACGTTGTAATTGCTGCCGGGTCGCGACGAAATTTCCTACATACCGGCTTTGCGGTGGCCCAGTGCTTTCAAAAATTTAGTGGGAGGTCGGTTTCTGCCGTGTCTCACCGCTCGTTATCTCTATCAGACCCCCACCAGAGCCTCTCACCGCCCTGAGCTAGTCCTATTACGGAAGCCCCGTCAACCCGAGGGGCTGCCGTTCAGCCCGTGCAGTTCGTTGCGGGTACGATCAACGTGCTGGGACTAGTGGACCGCAAGCGCTGACAAGGCAATCTTCGGCGGGCATGTCCGCTGTAAGCACGATTCCTGCCTGCTAAAAAAAGGTGTAAGAGCGTGTGACTCTTGCAGCGGATTACCAGACTTGTCGACGCCGACTTGCACTGGTCGTTTTCCATGTCACACAAAGAGTCATCCTGCCTCATCAACTCCAACTGGCTCCATATCAACTTACTTATCGACTGAAAGCCCTGCACCTGTACCACTCTGCATATATTTGAGACGCAAAGACTCTGGCGAACGAGCGTTCAGGCTTGTCAATAAAACTAGATTGTCAGTTTTACACGTCTCTCGCATACTTGAGTAAGTTTTCGTGCTGCTCAGAGCCCATGATCTTTACATTGACAACTCCGAAGCTCTCAACATGTCGTACACAGCCCCTCCGCAACGCATCACCTTTGATGGTTTTCTATTCGATATGGACGGCACTATCATCGACTCAACTGAGGCCGTCGTCAAGCACTGGCAAACGTAAGTAGCCAAATATCATCGTCATCAACCAGCTGCCCCTTGCATCAACTCTCCCCTCTCGTCTCCCCCGGGTTAGAAGAACTCCACTAACACATGAACCCCCTTTTCTCCCTTGCAGAGTCGGCAACGAAATAGGTGTCGCACCCGAGGTTATCCTCGAAACGTCTCACGGCCGCCGGAGTATCGACATCTTGAAGATTTTGGCCCCTGAAAAAGCAAACTGGGAATGTGAGTCCTCAGATCTCCTCTGCTCGGTCCCCTTGCTTCCCACTCCACCGTCCTGTCCCATCCGCCCACCGCTCCTTTACCCGCACAAACTCAGGTTGTCGTCCGAGCCACCGGGCAAGCAAGGGGCTTGTCAGGCACAAGAACAAAAGGCTAACTTTCCATCGCAGACACCCGTGAGATGGAGGGCCGACTTCCGAAACTGTACGGCAAGGACGCCGTCGAGATCCCGGGAGCGAGGGCACTGCTGGATGCCCTAATCAAGGAGAAGGCTCCCTGGGCTATTGTCACGTCGGGAACTGAGCCCCTCGTTGGCGGATGGCTCGAGGCCCTCGGCCTGCCCAAGCCCGAGCACCTCGTAACCGCCGAGTCCGTCGAGAACGGCAAGCCGGACCCAACCTGCTACAAGATCGGCCGCGAAAAGCTCGGTCTGCAAGACGCGTCTAAGCAGGTTCTTGTCTTTGAGGACAGTCCGGCAGGCATCAAGGCCGGCAAGGACGCTGGATGCAAGGTGCTTGGCCTCGTCACAAGCCACACCGTTGAGCAGGTTGCCAGCGCCGAGCCGGACTGGATCGTCCAAGACCTGGACTCAGTCAGGCTCATCGAAGTCAAGGGGGGTTCCATCACCTTGGAGTTCTCCAATGCCCTGGTGTCGGAGGTATCAGCTGCCTGAGGAATGGAGGCTCTGCTAATGAACCGATAGACTAGAATAGACTTCTCTACAATAGATTACAGCGTTCGAATGCTATTGCTCGTGGTGCCCCTCTCATTCGATAGATCTGGACGAACTAGGTTGTTAAGGGGTGGGCGTGTCTGGAGCCAACTGGACCGATGGTGAGATGGCCCAGAGACAATAGTCTACCTCTGGGTTGACTTCTCCTTTCACCTGCTCCTGGAAAGACATCATGGAACTTCATACAAAGAAGCGAGCGTCAAGCAAGCACCCTTCCGCAGATCCCAGGATGGCAATTGCTTCACCAGCCAGAAGGATCTTGAAGGAACCCAATGTCTACTCAGGAACAGACAACAGTGTAACGAAAACTGCAAGGCACCTTCCGAATGAACCCGGTCTGGGGTAGGTTGAGAAGGCCGCGGGCCCAAGACATGTGTCTCTTCGGTCCGGAGACGACACACGCCGCCTGTTGTGTGTCCATGGCGTGCAACCTCAGTGTCCAAGAATATCTTGCTCCGGCCGAGTCTGTGATGCACCAACTTTCATTTGATTGTCTCGAAAGTTGATTCACATGACAACTGCGAGATTGGTGTCCCGTTTACATCATACAGTGCATGAACCATACCTTGAACCCAGAACCCGAGCCGACGGGCCTTCGCAGGATCAGACAAGACAACCCGCTGGTTTAGCCCGATTCTCCCCTTCGCCGAGAAGGAGATCAACTAGTCTCACGTATCTGAGTCCGGATGACCCTAAAAGCAACATTTACCAACCAGCCAGCCCAATCGCCGCTCACGATGAGAGACAAGGGGCAAAAGCAAGCGTCCCCTCCAAGGATTGGATGCGTTTCACAGCAGAGTCGTATAAGGAACTTTACCAAGTTGCCGAATCCTTCCGGATGCCTGTTGTCCAACTTGTGCAGAAACTACACGGTACCGACACCATGGTTGTGGCGCAACTTTGCATAACCGCAGGACGACATCGGTATTGGCACAAGAGAGAAAAAAGTTAAAGAGAGAAAGCGGGTTGACGAGTTAAGGGAGGGTGACCGCAAGCTGCGCTGCTGCAAGGCCCCGAGCGTACGACTGTTTTGCTTGTCAGCACGCAGTTTGCCCTGACTGACGGTCCGGTTACATGCAGGCCAGCAACGTGCACGCAGACGAACACGCGTGGTATGAGAGATGAGCCAAGTGACATCTATAATCAGCATCTTGCAGTATATCCTAGAGATCCTCACTCCCCCTTGGGTCCCAACCGGCGATGTGTGTAACGGTCTGGGTCACACGAAAAGTCGGGCTGACCCCGAGTTGTTCATCTTCATTGGCGGAGGTTGGACAGCAGCGGAAAGTATTCATCCACGTCACAGAGCTGGTTTTTTTTTTTTCTTTCTTTCTTTCTTTGGTCATCTCCAACGCCTTTCTTGTTACATCATTGGATCTCACCACTTGGTCCCGACGGCCTTCTAGAGTCAGCGATTGTTGGTTCCCTAGCTGGCTGCGCCTTCATTGTCGGTAGGCGCCCGACGCTGCTATTTCGACACGTATCACGGCATACGCCAACTCCCGCACGGGGGAAGCATGCAGAAACAGCCCGTGAGACTAACCCATACCGGGCGCAGGCCGCGAGGGACGATTTGGTAGGTTAGGTATGATAAGAGGTACGATTATTGCAAGAGGCAAAAGTGATATTTTCCCGGTAACGCGGCTTGAATGTGGCTGAACAGCCCTGTCAGGGGCAATGAATGCCACCGGCAGTTGTGGGAGGCTGCAGGTACACACATTTTGGGCAAACTACCTTATCCGTAGCTGCGTGCAGCCGCAGGCGGTGGTGGAGGCAGCGGTGGTTGCGCCAACGACAGACACCGCCACGCCTTCAAGTTCGGAGAAGGCATCTCCATCTGGACTGGCAGTCGTGTGCCAATCTCCATCATGGTGAAACGGAGATTGTTAATCATGTAGTTATCAAGCCCGCAGCGCGCCGCGACGCTTGCCTAGACGATGAGGCCGCGGGGGATATTCCCATATGGCCGGGCCGGGCTGGGCTGGGCTGGCTTGGGCTGGGCTGGCTTGGGCTGGGTTGTGTTGGGCGGAGGCTCCCATGTGGCTCGGTTTAGGGGCGGGCTAAGGTAGAGTCCGACAGACTGACAACAGACCGGACTCACAGCGCCAGGAGCCAGACAGCCGGGTCGATTGGACGGTTGGGAAAACGAGGCTGGCTGTCAGGGAGATAGAAGGGGTGGAAAAACCACCTACTCATGAGCGACAGCCCGTGGTGTTCGTTTCTACACCATCTATCCGTACTTACCGTGGCGACGGCGACGGCGACCGCTGCTGTTTCGTCGTCCTTGACTCTTTCGCTACGGTTTCACGGATGGTCTGGCGATATCCGTAGATGGGGGGGTTGATGTTTTGGTGCCTTGCATGATACCATGATGTCCTCCCTCCCTCCCCCTCCGTGCCACTTCGCTTCGCGCGGCGGCCGTAGGTTGTGCTCCGTCGGGACTCACTCGGCAGCGGAGCCGGACACAGCCTGACTCGAGATGACCATGTCGGGGAGGCTGTGCCAAACCCAAGCGAGCGAGAAGGAAATTGTGCAGTCGTAGAAGATGGGTCACCTGGGTTGGGTGGGGACGGACGCGCGCGCCAGCCCGGTCAACAGCGGGTGCAGCACGCGTCGTCTCTCGACATTTTCCTTTTACGGCCGTGACGAGGACCCTTGACGTGAGTTTAATGAGGGAAGCATGGGCCCGAGGCTTGCGGGCAGGGGCCTCGATGGAAAACCAACAGCGGTGGCCCCTTGTCGGCAGAAACGAATACTTACAACACTAAAACTTGCCCTCTCAGCTATGAGGTCTGTGCCTGCCCTCTCTCTCAGTCTCTCTCCAGTGCGTGCTCCACACGCAGGGGCAGGGTCGGCATCTCGTCCATCTCATCAGTCGTCACGGTCGGCGCCGCACGTGGCCGCCGGGGCCCGATTTTGATCCCAATCTCATTCTCCCCGTTTGCCGCCGTTTCCACCTTCTGAATCTTGATGAGGATGCCATGCCCCCATCATCCTTGTGCACTGCTGCTGCTGTCGTTGTTGTTGTTGTTGGCGTTGGCCTCGTTGGTGGTGGTGGGTGGTGGCCTGTCTTCAGGTTGCAACATCCCCAAGGATCCAAGCCACGCTGAATCCGTTCCGTACTCTGTACCGTACCTCGTATATTGTCATTGCCGTTTGTTGAAATCAATGCCCTTGGTGACACGCACCTGCACGTCCAGAAAGAAAGAACAACGACCGACTTGAGCGGTTGGGTGAAAATGCCATCCACCATCCATCCAGCTCATCAAGCACGGCCATCTGTCACATGTCCCTTTCTTGGCTGGGTGTCTGTATCTATATCCGTACGGTACGTACGGCGCCAATGGCCCCTTTTCGTTGCATCGTGCCTTGCGCATGTACGTCAACAACAGACTCATCTCCCCTGTGCAGATTTGCCAGCCCAGGGTCATGACTAATTCAGCAAGCCCCCGTGTCCGCCATCCCGTCCCTAGACATCACGAAGATGGATGGCGTGTTGTTCGGATGGTCCGTAGTTTTCTTGCTGGTGTTACTCCGCCGCAGCGACCGGCGTTGTTGGTCTTGACTCTGGAGTGCTTCTGGCATTGTACCAGGTAGTCGGACCGCCCGCCCGCTTCCCGCATTCCAGAATGCCGCGCCAGTGTCCATTCGTCGCATTTCGCAGGTTTGTTCTTGTCTCGACGACATCGTCGTTGGTCAAAGAGAAAGGCAAATGATACCTACGTTGCTTAGCATGCATCCCGGCCCCGGTACGAATCGCTGCTCGCGAGATGGCGATCTGGCGGCGGCCTGTTGGCCGAGTTGGAGACGAGACACCAAAATAGAAGCGGTAGCCTCCGGCCCAGTCCCCAATCCCAGTCCGCTGAGCCCTGCGGTGGTGTGCTGGGTTTTGCCAACATCATCTCCGGGGATGGATTCTCTGTGTCGTCAAAGTCGGTTGAGCAGCCAGGGTTGATCGCGCAAGCCTGACATACATACGATGTCTTCTGGTTCGGGGTCCATCGTCCATGAAGGCAGGCTTAGGGTACCATGGGGCTGGTAACAGAAGAGATCCCGCTCCCGCCTTCGCCATGTACGTACAAGCAAGTCAAGGAGACGATATGCGCTAATGACGCCGCAAACCCACTGTAAATCTTGATGAGAGGCACTCCACGAGGTAGAAATCCATCTGACGAACAGCTCTGCCGCCTGCGCCTTTCCCTAGTTCACTGCGAAGAATATATACTGCGTATACATGGATATTTTTGACTCGGGTTTGGATATCCTTCATGTCTCCTCCCCCACCCCCGCGGGCGTCCTCAATGACTCAGGGAGTGTCGTTCGCCGCTTCCTGAATGTCCATGTCAGACCTGGAACATGTTGGTAGTCGCCATCAACTAGTACGGAGGGAAGCATGAAGAAGATAGCTACGCGACTCCGAGATATTCGCCTCGACCCGGCTCAGTGGGATAATCTTCTGTATCGAGGTATACGCGAGCTATCGTACGTTGTCCAATCAGGCTTGTCAACTGTGCCAAGCATCTGCGACCACTGAGACAACGGCTCCTTTGGCTGATTTAGTTTCTTTGGCGCACTCGGTCTTTGAAGAGCTCCCAAGTAACGCTCCAGGCCGCTCCTCTCTTGCGTCGATCCAGAGACTTCGGCACGTAGAACCAACGGCCCCGTTTGGATTTTGAGAAAAAGAAAAGCCTTTATGGGCAGCTTAGCGCTGTGACACGCCGCGACTCCGCGTGGACATTTCATTGAAGCCACAGAGACTGATGCCGATGCTTACATAACGATCACAGAACACCTCCGAGTTCTGAGCAGTACTTGCTATGGCGACCACAGTTTGACGGCACAGTCAACCATACATGAATGCTACCGTGCTGTGCGATTTCGCGCCCATACCGAAAGTTCTTGAGGCGGCTTCGCTGGTGGGGTTACAACGCCTACGGATG